TGCCACACTTTCACTTCTCGTTTTAATAATAAGGCGGTGTTGCAACATTCTTCCCCCCGGTATAACGACCCTGGTAAGTTAATACCTTATGACGATGCAACGTCGCCGCTTGTCTCTCTCTTCACATCGAGTACCGCGATTTTTGCTACTGGACGGTGATATTCACCAGCCGGTGTGCGTATTATTGCGCTGCGTACCTGACCATCCTTTCCTGCAAACGTGTTCTCCACAATGCCTTTAGGCCACGAATAGCGAGGTAGATTTGGGTCAGCAATGACTACTACGTCACCCTTTTCAATCGGTTTCACCTTGTCGAACCATTTGGTTCTCCTAGTCAGTGTCGGCAACATCTCCATCACCCACCTTTTCCAAAATTTGTCTGCCAAATACTGAGAATGCCGCCAGGAACGCCTTACAAATTGATCTGCGGAAGAAAACTGGCCTAGTGGCTTATGTCCAGAGGAACTTCCCAGCAGAAAATGGTTAGGAGTTAAGGCTTCTTGTTCTGCGGTCTCTAGAGACAAGTATGTAAGTGGGCGACTATTTATAATACTCTCGATCTCTACAAATAAGTTGTACAATTTTTCGTCGTTAAGTTTTGTTTCCGGTGTCACGATACGGTATAGAACGTCTTTGAATGTTCTGATCATACGTTCCCAGGCGCCTCCCATATGAGGGCTTGCTGGGGGAATGAAAGTCCACTTCACCTCCGCGCTCGTAAACTGTTCTTGAAGATCGTGTAGATTAATTTGCTGTAAAGCTTCCCGTAATTACTTTTCTGCTGCTACGAAATTTGTCCCGTTGTCAGTAAACACATGTATAGGTGTTCCTCTTCGACTCATAAAATTTCTAATAGCCATTACACACGAATTCATGGATAACGAGTACGCCACTTCAACGTGTATAGCTCTACACGTCATACAAGTAAATAAAACTCCATATCGTTTCTCCGAACGCCTCCCAATGGTAACCAGGAAGGGTCCGAAAAAATCTATTCCAACAAATGAATATGGTCGTGTATACGGGGATAAACGTGCCTCAGGTAACAAACCCATTTTTAGTGGTACTGGCTTAGCATGGTACAACTTACAGTATTGACAATTGTGACGCACTGTGCGTAATGCACGACGCAAGCTTGGTATATAAAACCGCTGAAACATTTCGTTGATTACAGTCTCGTGGTGGACATGCCTATATTTACGATGATACTATTCAATAATCAGTTGTGTAATTTTGTGGTTCTTGGGTAATATTATCGGATTTTTGACTGCATCCTTAATTGGTGCATTCTCTAGGCGACCACATCGACGTATAAGGTTGTTTTCGTCAACAAATGGTGTCAGCTTTCGTAAAACACAATGTTTTGGCAAGTTGCAACCTGGGTCACCCTTAAGCAACTTAAACTCTTCAAAATATGCATCGGCCTGCGCGAGCCGATAAAGGTGGCATTGACTCCAGTATAGTTCCTCGGTGGTTAAGCTTTCGGATCCTACCTCCGAGCTGGTTAATCCTCGTATCTTGTCTTTACATTTATCTGCAAAACGTTTAACGTATGCCATGCACCTCTCAAGACGTTCCCACTTCGAAAAACGAGTTGGATCAATGAGTGGTTGACTCTCTATATGAGCGCCAATATACTCTACGTGCGGCTTTAAATCAGCATCTTTGAAATGTTCCATGTCAATATCATAATTGTATTTAGGCCATTTTACACGCGGCGAATGTAGAAATTCTGGCCCAGAGAACCAAGTACTGGTTGGGCTAAACTCTGTGGTACTCTTCCACTTCGTGGCAGCATCTGCTACATTTAATTTTGATGGGATGTAGCTCCATTCTGTAACGTTTGTATGCTCTTGAATTTCAGCGACTCTAAACATAACAAATTGTTTGTACTTTCGTGGGTCTGATTTCAGCCATGTAAGCACTGTTCTCGAATCAGTATAAAAGTACGCTTTATGAATCTTGAAGTCATGACCCTTAGTGATTTCAGTAGCAAGACGGGATCCCAGTACGGCGGCGAGTAGTTCCATGCGGGGAATTGAGATAGGTCGCAAGGGTGCTACCTTAGTCCTTGAGCTAACATGCGCAACCTGAATTTCGTCTTCCCTTGTAATCCTGAAGTAAGCCACCGCTGCAGTTGCCACCTCGCTAGCGTCCACGAATACGTGCAATTCTATCTTGCAACTATTGTTTGACATCTTACCGAAATAGCATCTGGGAACCTGAACTTGTTTGACCTGCTCAAAAAAGGATAACCACTGCTGCCACGCGTTCACATACTCTTCAGGAATTTGGTCATCCCAATCGATACCACTTCGCCAAATGTTCTGTAGCAAATTTTTTAAACGGATTGTGTAGAATGCTAAGAACCCTAGAGGATCATAGACTGACATGAGCAATCGCAGGATTTCTCTTTTAGTTGGCGGCTTTTGTCCGCCTAAAATCTCTTTGCCTGCTTTAGTGAACCTTGTACTGAAGGTAAACACATCTACACTCGTTCTCCACCATAACCCGAGTACCTTCTCTGGCTCTATAACTTGGTCGATCGTTTTTCCAGCGGTACAAAAATCGTCACTTGAACCAGCATTTCCCAGGGCGCCAGCTACATGATTTGAATTAGTAAGCCATCCTCTAATATGGAAGTTGCCTCGTTTGTGCACCTCAATCACGTCCTTGATTAACTTGACAGCCTCCTCTGCAGTTTTAACACTATCCAACATGTCATCTACGTAATGCCTGTCTGTTATTGACTTGGCAGCTCGTGGGAACTCGTCGGCATTCTCCCTCGCATTCCTACTACGAACGTACTGGGCGATTGAAGGTGAACAAGTAGCACCGAATGACATAACCTGTAACACGTATGTGTTTGGATCTCGACTCGAATCACAATTACGCCAAAGAAAGCGCTGAGAATGCTGGTCCTCATCATGCACACTAATCCTGTGAAACATCTCGGATATATCACCACAAATGCCAATTTTTCCTATACGAAAGTTGAACAGTACATGTATCAATGGTCGCTGTAGATCCGGTCCCTTCTCGAGGCAGCAATTGAGAGACCTTCCCTGGTGCTCAGCTGCTGCGTCCCATACTACTCGCGTCTTATTGGGCTTGTTTGGATTATTCACCGCAAATATGGGCAAATACCATTTACGTTTAAAATCTTGATTAATTTCGTTATCGCTGAGCTTCCGGATGTATTGCTTTTGTTCCATATTATTTATTAGGGAATTTACTCGATTTTTTAAATCGTCATCTTTGTTTAGCTTTTTCTCGAAACAGACAAGTTTGCGCATGGCGGATTCAAAATTGTTCGGCAATACTATATTATCAGAGCGCCACAATAAACGGGTTGTAAAGTGATCGCCCGTTCGCGTAACGCACTTCTCTAGTATGTCTTGCTGGCTAGTCTTCTCATGTATACGTGCCACTACATGTGGTTCTAAGTTTTCAAGTTTCATGCTTTCTTTCACGAGCTTGTCGAGAGCTATGTTGTTGTCGCATTCACATACATGCAACTGCAGGTCGTTGTTTTTATAATGGTCCTGATCTGTAACGGTTCCGTACACTGTCCACCCCAGACGAGTTTTTGTTGCAGCGGGTTCGTGACTTTTTCCCTCTCTGAACTTCAGTGGCATGGCCACATGCTTGTTGTTCACCCCGATAATGATTTGTGGCACCACGTCTTTGTAAGACTCTACTGGCAGTCCCTTCAGATGTTTATACTTGTTGGACATCTCTGACATTACTAGCGTTTGCGCAGGCAAGTCAAGCTTCTTGACAGTGCGAACATCACTCAGCGTAAACATCTTGTTTTTTCCCTTTGCTGACACTTGCAGGTTGATGAGCTCCGAGTCGTTTTCTACTCTAATGGACCCATCAGTCCAGCGAAGACGCAGCTGACGTACTTCGCCTTTAAGTTGCAACATTTTCATAACTTCGTGTTCAATAATGGTTGGACCTGATCCGTCATCAAATAACGCATACACGTCAAAGGCGGCGTGCTGGCTATGGATCGTGATTGGTACAACCCTATACAATATTTTTGATGTATTTTGTACATGCATGGCAATCAGATTTACTTCGCCCTCTGACCCTTTGTTCATTACCGCTGGTTTGTGTAAACTAGGGTGATGTTTTGCTGTGCAGCTGTTAACACCACATTCATTACGATCCTTGCAAAATTTGGGGTTGTGCTTCTTTAGGCACGAGCGACACAACTCCATGCGATGAATAATATTCCACTTGTCATCATACTCCATTGCTTTGAATTTTTCGCAATACGCAATGAAATGACTTTCACCGCATGCTGAGCATTTGCGTGCTTCGCTATTCTTGGTATAGTGTCCTCTCTCCTCTTCCTCATGGAACCCAACATGATATGTTCGACGTACTTCCTGCTGTTGGTTCACGATGGTTGGTTTTGTCATGATGGTACTAGCTGCATGTGCTAAATCGTATAGCCAAATGCCAAAGTCCGACAAATTTGCCCCAGCGATATGTCTGCAATGAACTGCCCAATCTAAGCTATATCTAGCCGGTAGCTTAGAAATTAATTCTTGTAAAAGCATTGGGTTATTTACGTGTGCCGTTAGGCCCGCAGCTTGCATTGCTGAAACCAAGTTTCTCACCTCCATTGAAAATGAGATCAATGTCTCCAGTTTATTTGCATTCACCAATGGTGATGAGCGCATTTTTTCCAAAAGGCTATTAATTATGAATTCAGGTCTACCGAAAACCATGCGCAACGTGGCAATAACTTCCGGTACCAGGTCAGGTAACAACAGTTGACTGCTCACATATTCGAGAGCCTTACCCTTTAGTGCACGTTGTAACCTAAGCATATTCTCATCGTTACTAAAACCGCAAATTCGCGTTGAGCTTTCATAATTGCTAATGAAGATGGGCCACTCCTCTGGCTTACCACTGAACGTTGGTAGCTCCTTAGGAATGGCATGTCTGGCTTGTATCTGTTCAGCACGCAGAGGTACCCCCCAAGATCTATCGCCCTGGTATGAATTATCATAACGATTATAGCCGCTATGACCACTGTTATCACCAAATTGACCCCCATCGCTGTGTACTTGCCTATGGTGATCACCTGTGCGAGCGGTGATACCTGTTGGTTCAAATGTGGAATATACAACGTTGTTGGAAACAGGAAATGTTGAAGTGTTACGCTGGTTTTCTATGACTCCTTTCATACAACTGCTTGTGTTGCAAGCGGTGCTGTTAAACGTACGAAAACTTGCTACGCCATTCACGTTTGTCACACAAGAAGCCTCTGTGACATTAGTTGCTGCAACTTGTTGTTTACTGAGGATGTCATACTTTCTTGCTATGTAACGTAGATTTGCTTGTCTTTCCTCTTCCAGACGCTGCAGCTCCAAATTCATATCAAATTTGCTATTGATCTTCG